TGCATTAGCGGTTGCATTAGATTTTTTTCCTTGTGTCTGAACACATTTCATTGTATTCTTGTAGCACAGAATAGAGCAGTGCTTATCAATATCTTTAATTACAGTCTTTATGAAAATCCTAACTTTTTTAATGAAAAGTACATACTGTCTTTGCTTTTTAGACCAAAGACTGAAAGTAAAGTCTAGAAGTAATGTGACCAGCTTGCAGTTAAACTTCATTTATCTCTTGGGTGTCATTGCTTTGTTATTGTATACAATACTTTTAAGAATTCCCTTGGCATGTCCATGGAGTTGCACCAGGGAAAAGTGTTTCATGGAGACTTGCTTAGGAAATGTTTATATCTCAGTTTTTACTGAATAGCACAGACTTGAAACACCCTGTCTCTAAAATAAAATACTCAACCTTTCAGACACTAATATCCAGTTCAGATAGAAAGAAGATTCAGTAAAGGTGAAACTCAGCATGAAACAAAAACATGAGCTGAGACATGGGCAAGAGAAAAAGAGCCTGAAGTTGGTGAATGGTTAAATCTAGTTTGTTCAGCTACATATGAGAGCTTTTTGGCCAGAAAATTAGTGGTGCAAGTCCTTCTAAACTATAAGCAGATGGTAACTTTTTCAGGATCTGTGAGATTTTACAATGCAACCTTGTGTTATCATCTGTATTTATTTCTGTACTATCACAGAATCACAGAATGGTTGAGATTGGAAGGACCTCTGGATATCATCTGGTCTGAGCTCCCTAGCTCAAGCAGGGCCACCTAGAACTGGTTGCCCAGGACCATCTCCAAGGTGGGAGGCTCCATAATCTCTTTGGGGAACTATGCCAATGCTTGGTCACCCCCACAGTTAAAAATTGTTTCCTTATGTTCATAGGGAAAGTCCCATGCTTCTGTGTCCACTGCCTCTGGTCCTGTCACTGGGTACCACTGAAAAGAGCCTGACTCTGTCTTTTTTGCACCCTGCCACTGGTATTTATACATATAAAGATCCCCACTGAGCTTTCTCTTCTCTGGACTAAGGAGTTCTAGCTATCTCAGCTGTTCCTCATACGTCAGATTCTCCATTCCATTAACTATCTTCATGGGCCTTTGCTGGTCACTCTCCAGTATGTCCATGTGTCTCTTGTACTGGATAACTCAGAACAGGACCCCCAGCACTCCAGATGTGGCTTTAGCAGTGCTGAGCAGAGGGGAAGCATCACCTCTCTCGACCTGCTGGCAGTGCTGTTCTTCATGTAGCCCAGGAGTTATGTGCATATGGACTGCCATATAAAAAGGTAGATGGATTTATCCTGTGGAAATAATCACAAAGGAGACTCATAGCCAGTATCCCTTTAATTGTGCAGCTTCAGAAACTATGGAACATGCCTATTGACTCAGGAGGAGTTTTATTTTAGCAGGACAGGGTAGTAATATGATGCTGCCAGCATATCTTCATAACTGTAGGCTAAGGGCATTCTGGTCCTACATTAGACATGAAAGATGTTTTCCTTCATTCAGTAGACATCATGCCAGAGGCAGTGCTTGATGGCCATTTCCATAGTCCCTGTAACATTTTCCTCCTCCCCTCTGGCTAAAAAATCAAAAAACAACCAACAAAAATAGAAAACATCTGAGACTTCTTGAGCAAACAGAAATTAAATATAGGTGCACTCTAAATCTTTCTGTCCCACCTTCTTCCCTATTCAGTGTGTGTTTTGTAACAGCAATGGTGTTGGAGCCTTCAGAACATGGATTTTGTAGCAAGCAAAGTCAGGGAAGTTTGAGAGGATTGAGGAACCACACAAAAGGCAAGTGTATTACTATGGATAGCCCTTTCATCCACTGGAATATCCCCCTTTCTTGAGGTGCACATACACACAGATTTTAGGAGTTCTTTGAAGCCAGAGGACAAGACTCACATCTTCTGCCACAGAATACAAATACAGTTCCATGCCTTTCCTTCGGGAAAAAAGAAGGAATACTACAAAATCAGACTCTCAGAGTTTAACCAGTCTTGCACAGATTATGATCACAGAGAAGGGAACATATCCCCAAGTCAGGACTTCTGGACCAAGCTTGCATAAATAAACCTCAGGGAGTGAGTGGGTGAATGAGTCAAGTGAAAGATAGCAAGAACAAAGGTGAAATTTTACTTTTCTGTGACTGCTGAGTATGCTCCCAGTTCAAAGGTGGTGGGAGAGCTGATGGTCACCTTTAAGAACAGAATTTTTTAAAAAATCTTGAGGTGAAAGTTTTTATGTGTACTGGACTTACAAAGCTGGCAAGTCATTACTAAAGAGTGACTAGTGCCAAAATGTGGGATGAGATCTTCATACAGCTTCTGATTAAGTGGATCTGTTTCCCTAATCATCTGCCCAATATTCCAATTGAACCTTCAGCCAAAACTCGAGAGGCAGATTTCATTACATTTGTGGTGCCTAACCTGGAGTTGGCATCCTGTTGTAGTCATGATGGTGGGATGGATAGGAGGCTGAAAGATGAATTAATAACACTTGATTATAATGAAATACCGAAGTATGTTGGAAGGTCACCTTGTGTTATATAATTATATATTCAAAAGAATTTAAATTCTTTCTTCAGTCCTTAGTGAATCTGAGACAGTAGCAACGATGGGAAAAACCTCCCTTAAAAATCCCAAGAATCATACTTGTTTTGGCATGACACTGCCTAAGGTGATTTGCTAACAAGGCTGACTTTGCCAAGCTTTCACGTTAATGCAAGGTTCAGCATACATTTTAAAACATTAAATCAGCTTTGCATTTGCATGGATATGATTATTTGAATGTGTAGATTGTGTTAGTTTAAAGGGCTCCAATATTCTAATGCTTGATCCAAAATTAAATACTCAAAGTAACCATATGTTAATTTCAAGTAGTAGCTCCAAAAAATGCCAAAGGTTGTCATATTGCTTGAGTTTGGAAGATACAGAGTGTGTCTGCTGCCACAAACAATACTGGGATTGTAGCTACTGAATGTTTTGAGAATCAGAATCAAAACGTAGGGCAGAAGTAGATGCTCCTGTCTGAGTGACTTAAGCTTTTTGTAGAAGCCAGTATTGCTGTATACCCTAAGGCTTAAAAAAGTACAGAAATCCCAAAGTATGAGTTGCAATGGTCTTGTCAAAGTGGCTGCAGTTAGTAAATGTCATGTGTATCTGGGAAGCAAAGCTTCTGTTATTTATGGTTTATTCAGAATCAAAATGAATAAAGCCCTTTATGGACAAGTAGCAGGCTACCACATTTTACCCCATTGGATCAAGTCTCATGTCATGCAGTTTCAAATCAGACTTCATGAAATTGTTCTCTCAGTGTCCCTGCACAAAGAGTTTGGAGTATAAGTTGATACAACATGACCTGAATGGCAGCAAACATGAAGGAGACAAAATGCATAATTAGTTCATCAAAGCTGGTCAGCATGTCTGCCAGTTCCTGCTTTTTCTTGGTGGCACAGATTTCTGCAGAGATTATTACGTCTAACTAAGAAATGTCGCAGTGCTCTGTGTCTGCTTACTGTATTTGGTATGGACCCACAAGATAGGCAGTGACGTGGAGTTCTATTGTCTATGTGAGAGTGTCAAGGTGTAAAGTGCCATTTTTCAGTAACAACTCCTGGTTATCAAAAGGAGATCGAGATCATACACCTGCTCCCTGCATATGGTCAATGAGAGGGGAAGGACTATAACTGACTACTCCTTGTTCTGCCAGTGTAGATGGGAGAAGTCTTCTCCTCTGAAAAGCAACGTGAATTTATGTCTTTGGCTATCACTGGTGTAAAGGTCCTGTATTAGACAGAAGCAGAGTATGCCAAGAGAGGCAGGAGAATGGATGTTGTGCTGTAACCAAAGGCTGCCAGTGCAAGCATGGGAACATACATTGTTTGTCAAGTCACTGTGTCTCAGCTTTAGAAACTGTAACCATGAGTTTACAGCATGCACTGTACTTGGAGAGCTGTGCTCCCGAAGAGAGGGGCAGCCTGGCTGTCAGTCAACCCAAGTTACTGTCTCAGTTTGCAGTTTGTCTTAATTGTGTTTCTTGGAGTAATCTACCCCTTGTTGAACCAGAATGGTATGCAACATCTGTGGCCTGATCTTCACAGGTGCCCTCATTCTTGGCCAGATCTGTAATCATCTGTCAGCAAAATGTTGGAATATCTTGGGAGTTTCAACATAAAATTGCACTGTTGTTCACACCTTTACTGAATTCAGCACAAAGGTGGCAGTACAGCCATACTGCCATACAAATCAGAATTTCATATTTTCCTTAGGCACTGTGGGGTGAGAGTATTTTATACGTGATGAGTGAAAATATTTTAAATTGCACTTGGAAAGGAAGAACTGTATACCAGTCTCTAAAAGTATTTTTAGTCACTGTTTTTCTGAAAGCCTTTGGACATTCAGCCTAATAATTTGTTTCTTTCCTGAACATATCTTTATTTATGCAGCAGAAGTATTCCTCTTCTTCAAGGTAAATTCTGTACCGTTTCACACCCCATTCTTTACAGACCTTCATGAATCCATTGTCATTTATTTGACCCTTTAAGTGTAGGAGCACATTTCCAATATACAGTATGCAAGAAATTTAATTTTGAATTTATATTCATAATAATTAATCTCTAATTTTATTATGTTTTAATGAATTGCATGACATTCACTCTGGTTTTGTCTTAGCAACTATTTAAGTACGTTCTTTGTAATGAAAGCTGTTTTGTTAATGATATTTATAGGATAGTATTAGTTGAGAGAAGGTTATTTCATTCATGCTAAAGGACACAAATTTTAAAGGTAGTTTACTTAAAAATATGTGTCATCTGTCCCCTTTGGCTGTCAGTTTTCCTAGAAAGGTACTCTCTCAGTCTGGATAAAACATGGAAGCAGAAGAAGTGAAGTCTCAAAAAAATAACTCTCTTTCACCCTACTTTGGCAACTGTCAATGACAAATAGAAATTCACATTAGTTAAAGCAAGTCACATCCTAAAATAATTTTTTTATTCTTTCAGACCACTCTTCCGTGGAAATTCAGATGTTGATCAGCTAGGAAAAATCTTTGAGTAAGTAATAACTAGTTGCATTATGTCAATACCCATTTAACATTGAAAACCTGTGAAATTTCTGTGCTGTGTTCTTATGCTATAATGTGACTAAAGCAAAGTATTCCTAAAACGTTTCCTATTGCTACCATATGCAACATGATATTTCCGTATATTCTGTGTCAGAGTGGGAGGAGGAAGCACCATGGAATATAGTTCTGCAAAACTACCAGCCATCATCAGGAAGTTATGTGACTTTTTGGGCTTTTTAAGTCTCTTAAACATATTGTGCATGTACCATTCATACATATCCCTAAACGTTTAAGTCCAGGAGATTTTCTTCACATAAACAAACATGGAGGTTTTATTTTTCAGTTATTTCTTTGTGCATTTCAGAAAACAACATTTAAAACTGTTGTTAACCTGAAATCTCTAAGATAATTACCAACAGCATTTTTGCAGAAAAGACTTCTGTAAATAAGATACTATATTAGCTTTTAGAATCTACTGTGTAGCCTGTTAACAGTCCATACTGTGGTCAGGAAGGTAACTGGGGGAACGGAAGGAATATCACCATTTTAACATGTGCCTTGTCAGAGAGGAATTGGCTTTATTTTAAAACCATTTTACAATTCTAGGAGTTTGTGTTTCTCTTTTTCAGATATATCTGAAAATATCTGAATATATACAATATATACAATAAGGAAGTGGGTAGACTTTAAACTCTCTGAAATAGAATAATTCTCTTCCAAAATGAAGTTCTTGGTATTACCATTATGATTTAAGTAGGATTATATTACTTTTTTTTGTAAAAGATCTTCAGATTAAGAAACATTTCAGTATTTTTAAGAACCATGTAAATTTAGGATCTGATGTATGTAGCATGTAGTTAGGAAACCAAAGCCACGTAGGGCTGGTACCAATCCAGAGAACGAATGCCTATTTGCCTCTGCACCTCTGTCTTCCTTTTCTATATGGAAAAGGCTGAAGGGATCCAAGGGTCTGAGTGAAATAAGAAATAGATAGCACAGAATGAGAGAGAGAGAGAGAGAGAAGTATTATTCTGGAAGATTATTATCTTGAAGATATTCCAAAGAGGAGATAGTAAAATTTCTAAGAAAAGCTTTAATGGAACAAATAATTAATTTCTCTGTTTAACCATTTTCCCAGTTCTCAAATCATAACAGATCTGTTTCTAAGCACTTTCATTATTTAATATGGGGTTCCTAAATTGCAGGTCTTGATTTCACACAGTTGACTTCCCTTTCCTGCATACCATACCAGCGTATGTGACTCACTTGTGTGGTTAATTTGTCATGCGCTGAATAGCTCTTCCTGCCCAATCCAGAAAAATCAATCCTTAAAGTTTACTTTCTCTTCTTCTGCCAAAGCTAATCCTTTAGTCCGATATTGTTCTGCTTTATTAAATGAAGACAGCTTTGATGCATACATTATACTTTATAATTAAAAAAGGCATAGCAGTGATTTTTTTAAAGGATTATCATTCATTCGTGACATTTAAAGGGAAAATGAAAATTTACTGGGCTAGGATTAAATGCATGGCTGCTAAAGGCAGCCTCCAACAGGCATCTTTCCATCCCTAGGGGCCGAGATTACCTGTGCAGAAAAGAATTCACCAAGAAAAGAAAATGCCTTGCTAAATTTAGAAGAAGTTCCTTCTTGCACATCTACTTAAAGAGAAAGTTTGGGTTTGCTTCTTTTGTACAGTTTTTCTTAAACAGTTCAGAAGTTTCTGTCTTGGGTTCTGAGGTGTAATGCCAAATAGTGTTTATTTTGTGTTTTCACAGCTGGAGAACCCCCTACAGTTAGGCATAGCTCTTCTTGTAGGAGGGTTGTTCCCTTCTACAGTAGTGACTCATTCTGCAGATTAATTTGGGCAGAAAGTAGTTTCGGGATTTTCCTGCAATCTGGACCGATGCATTCTTTCAGATAATGGGGCTGTGGTCTGCCTTAGCTTTGCATGTGCATTCTGATTTTTTTCAGGTAGAATTCCACTGAGTGTGAGGGTAAATCCCTCGTACGTGGCCCGAAACATTTTCCTGCTTTTCCAGGACACTGTCAGCATGTGGCGTATCCTCATAGATTTCAGGCTGAATGCTGCAGTGGTTTGAACAGACTTGTCTCCCATTGTGATCAATGGGAGTGGAAAGTACTCAGCGTTTCTCAAGACCAGGCCTGAACCTTTGGCAAGAGGTGAAACTCATCCAAGATACTCCAAACTTAGTCACTGAAATGGTAGTGCTACCACACCAGAGTGAGAGCATCTGTTCAGACATTCATTATTAAGAGTTTCGAGTACTACGTGAGCATGTAACTAAAAACGTCTCTCCTTTCAACTTTCCCTGTCTGACAGGTTGCCTCTTGGTTTCTTATCATTAGCTTTGCCTGTGCCTGTGCTTATACTGCCCTGTTCATGCTCTGTCGTGCAACTGTTGAAGGAAACACATTTGAATGACATGTTAAATGTCATTGTTCTTTAAAACACTTAACTACCCCATCTTCCTAAGATGCTGTTTGTATTATAATTAGTAAGGGTCTGGACCCTCAAACAGCCAGTCCTTTAATTACTGTGGCCAAGGGGGTTGCCCCATGGGTTGCCCACACCATACCTAATGATAAAAGTCAAATTCAGTTTTTCACACAGATTTAACTTAGCATTTCCCAAAAGCTGTGATATGTTCAGATGTAGTAAAATTTAATTGTCCTGAGATGGAAATTGTAATTGATTTGCCCTTCCAGCCATGCTGTTATTTTGAGGACATACTAATTTTCAGAGACATTTTAGGTGAGCCAGATCCATGTAGGTAGAGGTGGGGTAATTCCACTCGCTGAGGTAACCTGTGATTTGCTTCAGTGTGTTTGGCCCATGGCCTCACCCAGTCTAATGACAACCTCAGTAAGAAGGAAGGTCAATGCTGCTCCCTAGTGGCACTGGGCTTTGTGCAGACCCAAGTATTCAATGACATTATTTTTGTGTCCTTTCTTGTCTTACCCTCAAGTATTCTGTGACATTATTTTTATGTCCTTCTTGTCTTACCCTGTCAGGATTCCCATTAAAAATCTCGATTTTTATAGGCTATAAAAATTTATTTTCCCTGAAACCTGACAAATAATATGTGGTCTTTGCCAGAATTTCCATCAGAAATCAGTTTCAATCCCACAAATACTAGCATCAGATTAAAATATGAAATGTATGAGACATAATCCATTATTGGAGGTTTACCTACTATTGCATTTTTTTTTTATTTTAGACCTCAACATTATTATTTAATAAGTAAAAATATCTTTTATAATTTAAAGAATAAGTAAATTATTAAAATAAATTAAAATATTTTAGTAAAGAGAAAATTAAAATACAATTGTAAGCAAAACCACAAAGACACTCAAGTGCCTTGCCGCTTCTAAATTGAGACTTTGAAAACTGTATTGTGAAGCAAATAAATTGTTTAGATTTGGGCAACAATTACTGCACATAGCTTTGAAGTATTATGAAACACTCCTTTTATTGCCTTACCCTCATCTTGACCCACACTCTTCTCTCAGACCCTATTCTTGTGAATAAAGATCCTTGCAAGCAATTCCCCTTTGAAATTTACTGCTTTTAGTCATTCTGGAGAGACATATGTTGCACCATCCAGTCAAGAGCTGAGCAACTTTCTTCCAAAGCACTGAGCCTTTTTTTTCAACAAAAAGACTCAGAAAATTGAGACCTAGGCCAGAGAGTTGTGCTGGCCACAAAATGATTTTTGCCAAGCACACTGAGGACCTATGCTCATCAGCTTCCATTCACAGAGATCAGTGCACTACTCTACAATTAAATATTTGAGCTCATTTAAACCAAAATATTCTAAAGTAAACTACCACTCAGTATAAAGGGGAAACTGCTTAAATATTCAGACCTAACATTATGTTTTTCATTTCACAGTGTAATTGGACTCCCAGAAGAGGAGGACTGGCCTAATGATGTTGCCCTTCCAAGAAACGCTTTTACTTCCAGACCTGCACAACCTATTGAAAAATTCGTACCAGATATTGATGAACTAGGCAAAGACTTGCTTCTTGTGAGTTCCTGTTTGTTGTTCCCCAAGTCGTGTGACTGATAGTTCCCACTGTGCATGCAAGATGCCAAGAAACACTTAAGTTTCCATTTAATGGAGTTATTAAAGGAAAGTTCAAAAGTTGGTAGACTTTTCACATATCATGTAGATGTGTGAAAAAAACAGCAAAAGACACTGCCTTTGGCTTAATTGGCATCAGGGCTGACAATAGTTCTAGATCAGGAAACTGAGTCAGGGGAATACCTGTTTGGTCTGTCTTTAGACCTTATCATTAGATCCTCATTACTGACCAGTGCAGTGCCACTGATTCAGCCATTCTTATACTATAGGTCTGACATGAGTATAGAAATTAGATCTACCATTTTTGGTGGTATACTGGACAGAATAAAGCAGGAAATAGGCACAGCTTCCACTGAGTGCTGAAAACTTGAGACTTGGAATTCACCAGTTGTTGCCTCTTAGAAATGGCAAGACTGAACAGAAGCAAACATACTGGGCTGGTAGAGCTATTTCCGTCATTCGTATAGATATGTTAGAAACCCCAGTCCTTGAGTTTAGTCTTCAAGTGGAATATAGGGAATGACTTTGCCTCAGTTTACCTCTTGCTGTGCTTGTTGAAATCTAGTTAAATTTGTTCTCTGGAAGTCTTTAAAAGATCTTCATTCATATGGGCTAGGTGGACTGGTCTCAGTGCAATTCTTGAAAGACTTGGTGCATCCGTTCAGGAACGGCTTTCTGTGGCCAGCGTTATCTCTACAGTAAATCGTCCTCCATTGTCCTTATGACTGCAGCTCCCAGCTGCAGAAAGCTGGACTGCATCTAGACACTTGAAATAACAAGGAAGAAACACATCTGTTGTGCTTGCAGGCAGCCTGCAAGTGGAAGCTAGACATGGGACAAGAATTAGATTCTGGGAGCAACAGGGAATAATAATACATGGCATAGAGCTCAGTGATTGTGAGGTACGATGGGAGGGAAGGAGGAACAAGACAAATATCTGTGCCTAGAAGGTGAGGTGGGAAGGGAATCTATTGTTCGTGTTAGGCAAAGAGATGGTAACGGGGAGCTACAGATGAAAGGGGAGAGTAGAACTGAAAGTCACTGAATTATATTTCAGAAGTTAAATGATAGAAGTTATGGTACAAGAAAAGAAAGTAGGAGTAGGAAGTGGCTGGACAACGATAATAGGAAGAATAGTATTTGGAGATGAATGAAGGAAAAGAGAAGAACAAGGTATAAAACGCAGGGCTGCAAGAGAGATTTCAATGCTGGCTGGCTGGATGAAAGCTGGGATACAGATCTGGGAAGAAGACCATCAAAATGCAACTAGAAAGAAAAGAGAGAAACTGAACACAGAACATTGGCATGTCCTGTGCTTGTGAATTCAATAAAACCTACATTCTGGGATTTTCTAAACTATGAACACTTGAATTTCCTAGCATGTAATTTTCTTCTAGTTTAGGGGATGCCATGTTGTTAAACTATGACCCCCCTGTTTGTTTTAATATGATGGTCATCATGCACCACCTAAGAGACCCTACTGTGTCTCATACTGATCATAAACTGAAAGTGGTATGCATAATGTATGTATGCAATGATAGCACTGTTAACTGTGCATTTTAGTTAAAACCAACTTCTTTTCATACTTTCAGAAATGCTTAGCATTCAATCCAGCCAAGAGAATATCTGCCTGTGTTGCCCTCTCTCACCCATATTTCCATGATCTGGAGAAATTCAAGGAGAATCTGGACTGTCACATGTCATCCAGCCAAAACTCCAGTGAGGTGAATGCATCATAAGTGCTGACTGAAGATGAACCATAACTGAACAAGACATGTAGCTGACAAGGCCACTGTCCTGTACAAACCACATAGCTGTCCTAGCGAAGATCATTATTTGGAGGTTTTATGCACTTATCTTTTATTTTGGGATTGTGATGTGCTTATCCGTGGAAATCAATCTAGTTTACCTTTATCAGAGCAATGCAAGGGCCAGGGCTTTGGCCTGCTCCCATTGTAGCTTTATGTTTGTTTTGTTTTTGTTTTGTTTATCTACCTGGGAAAACTCCAGACGAAGAGAAGCTGCTGACTGGTTTTGCTGCCGTTTTATTCTTCTAATATTGAATGCTGCCAGTGTGGAGTTTGATGATCGAGTCACTGCCAAAACATGATGCAATCTCTCTCTCTCTCTCTCTAGCTGCTGAAGCTTGATGTGGTACTTTTTTATTATTATTTTGTGATCTCTTACGGTGATATTTAAAGAATGGCATTGAAATATCAGATCTCTGCAACCTGCAGTTAACTGATACCCGTGTTAATACATCCAGCTACTGTTCATTCATAGCATATATGCAGGTGCTTCCCCACTTGAAAACTTGGATGAATTATTTTATTGTTTCATTGCTCTCTAAAAATAACAATGATGATGGTGATCATAGAAAATGTACCCACTTTTAGGTTTTTTTCATGCACAAACAAGTTATTATCTGGCTGCGTTTGTGTGCACGTTTCAAAAAACTGTCTTGTTCTTAAAGACTCTTTCAGTTTCCAAAGGGTTGGTTTGTGTTGAAATGCAGGCACATTCTAGCCCATCATCTAACCCGTCATTTTCCCCTGGAAACAGCTGCAAGTATATTTTCCTTATCTCATTCAAAATTTTCTGGTGTGCAGCTCAAAGACATGAGCACAGCCAATGAAAATCAGTAGATTTTCACCTTCAACGTGTTCTGGTTAGCAGCCAAAAAGGAAAGTAGAAAAAATATTTCTGGTTCAGAAGCAGAGAATCCTATACCTGTAATAAGCACAGATAAGTATCTGTGCTGCTGTATGCTGTATACTGTGCTGCCTTACCTGCAACACCCCCCAAGCATCACAAGTGCATAGCATTACTGTCTCAAAATCCCTCAGATGTCACTTATGAAGCAGACTTGTTTTCTATGCAGAAATGTATGACCTTCTCTCCTAAAGCACCATGTGGGTATACTGGCACATGCCTCTCCACTAGGGTTAATGTGCTATTATTGAATGTCAAAATAACTAAGCAAATCACATGTCTTTATAGCACAGTTATTTTAAATATTACATGAAAATTTTATATTTAGTATTTTTACCTTAAATATATTTTCAGTATTTTGAAAAGAAACTTTTATTTTTTTAATACTGTACTGGGGAAAAAGAAATATTTTAAATCCATTAAAGCTGGTTCCCTAGCAGGAATTTAGTGCATTTACCTGGATACGACTTGGGGGAAAATACTGGTCCAGCAAGTATAACTGATGCTAAGTGAGGCAGCCAGCTTTGCTTACTCCTGTGACAGTCCCTTAGGCTTCTCTCTTCCTCATTTCTATTTGATCTTGTCTAGGTAGTGAACCAGCATTATATCCTCGTCAACAGCACGCTTGGCAGGAGCAGGTCCTTACCAGTTGAGCAATACAATTTTTGCAGTTGCGACAGAGGAACTTGTAGCTGTCTCCCTGGCAAGTCTCTCTCTCTTGTGATAGACTGAATGATGTGGCAAACTTCGCTGTTAACTCTGTTTTGGGTATCTGCACTGTCTGGGACATGGTCCACTACCAGGATAGTGAGTGGATTTTACCTGTCTCTTGGATAAAGCTTTTTGTTACTGTTAGACACATAAGTATGTGATGCGGGGTTAAATTAGGTCTGCTTTAGAGAAGACAGATTTTAAAAGGACCACTTGCATACTTGCGTGCAGTGGCCTGTGCTTTTCTTCATGCCCAGAATGAGCCTATGCAAAACTTACCAGCATGAACAGGCAAGTTGCAAATTAGGCCTGGCAAGAGCATGCATAAGGCATCTGCACGCAGAGATAGCACAGATGCATAACACAAGAATTTTGGAAGCTTTGTGAGCAGGCAGTTGAAAGCCAGGGAGTGGTCACAGCAGCTAACCCTCTAAGGCTGACCTTCCCTTTGTCATTCTCTCTGTTCCTACGTCCCAGGGGAACTGTGAACCCACTGTACTGGTGTTCTCCCAGTGCCATTCCTCCATGGGTCAATGGACCCCAGTGTGACTAATTTTTAACATTCAAAGAAAAGGATGTGCCAGAATGAAATTTTTACTAACAATTTTTGAACACTAATTAGAACAACAAACAGAGACAAAATTCAGGAGACTCTTGCAACAGTAGCAAATAGAAAAGTTTTCTACAGAGTTTAGCACTTTCAAAAACATTCCATGTTTTACCTTGTGCTGAGCTATCAATCATACATAACCTTATCAGGGCATTCAGCTGGTGTGGCTTCCCAGCAACTGTTCAGGGAACTCTCCCCAGAGCTCTCCACCGACTAATACAGAGTGAAAATGTAGGGGAGGAGACAATATTTTCAAATTAGGCATAAAACTCTCAGATAGAAATGTGCATCTGTTCCATGTAAGAACCTGTTGTATTAAGCTTAGCAAAGCAAAGGCTAGAAGAGAATGTGATTGCTGAATGTAGGTACATTATTAGGGTAAAACAAAAAGGAGAGGAGAGAACTCTTTAAGCCAAAGGTTAGTGTTGGCTCAAAAACTAATGAATATGTGGAAATCACTGGGAAGTTAACTACTGGAGGAGTATTTCCCAAGCACAGTAGTATCAGACAAAGAGCTCAGAGAGCAGCAGAATAAAACTGAGGTTGGTTTATGAAATCAAGAGCAGAGCTTCTGCAACATGGTGCTGTATGTTGTCTAATGTAGTAGGATCAGGTTATAAATGAGGTATTCAGGAGAACAGCTTGCAAAGGGCTGCATTAATGATCGCGTTCTGGAACATCCTTCCAGTGGGAATGGAAGGAACATAAACAAGAAATCTAAGTTCTGTCTTGGCAGGGTTAGGGAAAATATTTCTCTAATGGGGTCCTTATGGTAACGAGGACCTAGATTCAAAGGACCAATAGTTTTTCAAATTACCTCCTTTTCCAAATCTCTAGGAAGAAATTCCATTTGACATGCCATAGGCTTGCTCTTATTCCAGTCTTCCCTGCCAAACTGTGGGGCTTCATTTACACTAGTAAAATGAGAAAGCCTGTTCTCTGGCTGGGAAAAGCACTGTCATTGGCTAAAATCATGCCAGGAGTCGTGTTTATAATTAGACAGCACAGACAACTGTGGGACTGTGCTCAAACCCATGCCCTTGCTCTTCTTATTTTACACTGGTATATCTCTAGTATTTTAGTACCTTTACTCATTACTGCTATATGTGTAGGATGTAGGAATTGTGTATGTGAAAAAGAAAGTGCTGTGATGAAAACTCTTTGTACACCCTTTAAATAAGATTTCAGAGTGCAGTTCTTCTTAGTGATAGCTAAGCCTGTATGTGTTCTACAGGAGTGGTTCAACAGCAGCTAAAAAATACTGAATAACAAAAGATATATTAAATATAGCTCCTAGAGCACCCACAACCAGACTCTGTGCTCTTCTGAGCAGAGAACAGGGTGTTCTAAGTAATGGAAGGAGCAATTTCTATCTCCCACCAACCCTTCTTTTTTTTTTTTTTTTTAATCACTACTACATAATTCCACAGAAAAAAAAAACAATAGCCAAGGGAAAAAAAATCATCAAAGTCAGCTAGTTAAGTGCTAATTGCTGCACCATAGAAATCTATATGGAGCAGCCTTTTTCTCTCTTCACCCTGTCCACACAGCCTTCCAGTTCTTTTCCTTCAACTACCTTATGGAAACAGGTTTCAGTTATGCTCGCAAGTGCCATTTCCAACAAGGTTCGTCCGAATTTTCAATAGCTGCACAATGTCAATGTCCCCTCTGTCGTCCCTATAATCAAGTGTTGCTTCTTTTAGTCTGACAACCTAGAACCAGTGATTAGAAAAGAATCTCTTTTTCCACCTCCTTGCTTAGCCTTAGTTTTGCATACACTCGTGTTGCCCTCTGTGTGCCTAGTAAAATTCTAAAAATAGGGTTTGTGCATATTTCTGTGTAGGCTGTGCCCACACTCCAGGTTTTTTTCAGCCGATTAGTCCACAATGGTAGATGTTTGAGTGTCTTTTCCTGTTGTTTCTGTCCTAAAACACAAAAAAAATGAGGATGTCATGTTTGCAAAGTAATTGTTGGTTGTTCTGATGAATAAGAAGAAAATATTGTGCCATGCTACTTTTCACAGGTTCACTCACTGTCTTTGAGAAGTGTGTTTTATTATACATGTTATTCTCTCTGCTGTTAGGTATTAGACCAACTTTAATATGGAAAATAAAGATAAAAAGTTTGATTCTGGATGATTGTGGTAGAGCAGATTTTTTTGTTTCCAAAAAAGATCAGACAAAAGATACTGCCTTCTAAAAAAAAAACAAACAAAACCAAAACCACAAACCATTGACACTTAGTAAAGATTAAAAGGAGATTTTAAGGAACTATTGGGAAAATACTGTCAGGATAAGTGAAAAGGAGCATATTTTTAATGGGAAAAATGTAAATACAAACAATGTGTATTAAATATGCATTGAAACTGATACTTTTTCACTGACCTTGCAAAGTTGATAGGGTTTTATGGAAGAAAAGCATCCGAGTACGGACTTACTCTAACTACCACTTAAATCTGCATTTGCACTAAAGCAACCTATAGTGTTTTACTGAAAGGAGACACGTCATGTTAAAATTGTAATTTATTTTGGTGATGTCTCCATGGATATGTTGTAAAGCTCTCTAGCTCACTGTCCATTTTTGAGCAAGTCAAATTTGCATTCACACTGTTAGCTTTCTGCACCTTAAGCCCATCCATGTGCCAGAAAAGAATACATTTTCTAGTGTTTACATGGATATTCGATCCCAGTGACATGCTCCTGTTAAATCCAGCCAAAGACCAGTCTCTGCCACTGAATGGAAAATGAATTATCACAGACTGACAGCTTCCTTTGTACAATTACCCTAAAAAATCTGTAATGAACATTGAGCAATATGGGGCCCTTCCTCTTATTTCATGTTTCACGCATACATCATATTATGAGAATTCTCAGCCTTTTTTTAAAAGAAAAGAAAACCCCGTTCTTGAATGTTAGGATTAATTTGAGTGGCTAGATGAGGGGGGAAATTACGTAATGCAAAGGTAGGAAAAATGGGCAAGAGAGTAGGATCGTTGGCAAGTGAATTTGACTATGTGAAGAAGTTGCATATAAAAGTAGGGGGAAGACTTTTTTCCCACATGTTTTGTTTTCTCCTGTAATTTACTTTCATAAACATAAGATGATAAAGCAAGACTCTTGCATGGGATTTTAATGTCAGATACTTATTATGCCAGTTCAGGTTATGAGTTCCAGTGCAATTTTTCAACACAGCAACGGCTCTATTTTTTAAATCAGATTTTGTAGAAGCAAGAGCTTTTTCTGGGTGGATACCAAAAAAACCTTATGAGACAGCTCAAGAGCAGATTAAGCTGGCCACAGAGACAGTGCCTGTAGTTCAGCTGCAGAAATGGAGAACATATAGCTCTACTGCAGGAGAGCCACCAACAGTCTATTAATGTGCGATGGTGTGCACTACGAGCTGACTCCTGCAAACTGCAGCCCAATTGTGGCAATCCAAAATAGCATGGTTTTGCACACTTGGATTTTGATAAGATTATCCACATGCAAGTTTTGCTGGATCAGTCCAGATGGTTCACTATCTTACAGGAGTAGGTCTGAGAGCATAGCAGGTCTGTCCGACACCCAGTGTAAGTAATAATGCAAAATCCTCTGCCATGGGAAAAGAAAAGTTTCTGTAGGTTGTACAACAGGAACGGAGCTTTCTGAGCTGCTGTGCCAATCTGAGAGCTAATGTTAACTATTGTTATGCAACCTCCAAAAATGCAGAATGTGAGGCGTGGAGCATTTTGTTCTATTCAGTGTGTGTGTGTGGGTGGCAGGGTAAGTGTTGGCACAGAGTGGCTAATTTTGGTCTTTCCATTAAGCGTGAGCAACTAGGTTTGGCACAGAGACAAATTTCACAGTTACAGGGATGGGAAACCTCTAATTCTACACAGTAGTTCTCTGGCGTTTGTTAAATACATATAGTGATAGATCACCCAACCACTCGAGCTGTCCTTTCCTTATCCCTGATCATCCTTCTTTGTGAAAGAAACCACAGGGAGTTTGTTCCTCAACAGTCTTCCAGCACGCTGCTTCCTCTCACTGCAAGTAGCAGTTGCCTGTCACTTCTGTCTGACCCTGCTCATACTTCCGCTGCCACTGAAGAAGCTGTGAGCTAAATTACTGCTTTGTGATTCTGCAGCCCCCCAGTCTGCAGGCAGACAGTGATTTTTACTCTGTTTTTAACTTGCTCCTCATTAGAAAGTGGGAAATAGTACAGTCAAGTATGGCAAAGTGTGTGCTACTTTTATACTTTTTGATTCAAGCAAAGCAGTGAGCTAGAATAGATTGGATTGACCATAAAGTATTTGGTCAGCCAAAACAATTTTTGATTCAGAAGATCATTTACAGAAGATCTCTGGAAAACTGTCTTTGATGCACACAGTTACAAGAACACCCAATGATGGTTCTGTTATACAGAAGTTTTTAATGGATGCAAAAAAGATGAAATGCCAGCCTCCTACTGCTTACCCCTCTTCCTGTCCCCAAGATCACTATTCCCAGGGAGAGGTTTCCTCCCAGCATGAGGCAAAGCAACTATGAAACAGTCCCCAGCTCTCAAGATAACTTGTGTTCAGGTAGGCAGTCAGCTCATTCCTTTTCTTTTGGCTATGGCAGTTCAGTTTATAAAGCCCTGCCCTAATTACTAGGGACAAACAGACCTTAACCCCCAAACCTTTCTCTTGAGGAAAAGTCTTTCCATGATCCAGGGAGGATGATATACTTACTATTTCTCTGACAGTTCACTTTTTTTTGCTTTTTAAACAGCAGTGTTGTAAGAACTTCCCTAAGAAAACTCCTGCTACACAAAAGAAAGTGATACTGATTTCTGGACATTCTGTGGGAAAAGAGAATGTTGTATTCCAGGTAGATGATACATCTCAAACAATCATCCTTCATCTGTAATAGAAAAAAACCCCACCAAACTGGGTTCATAATGTAGCCTGGGTTTGCAGAGTGCTAGTTAAATAAAAAGTTCTTCTCAAATCTTTTTTCAGGAAGACCGGAACCCCATCATGATTTCTTGCAGGGACTTTATCTTGGAGTCCCTTTTAAGAAAGGTGGGTGCAGCCATGGTTGCAGTTAAAATGTACATGAGAAATTGGTTGCTGGCTAGAAGTTTGTGGATGTGACACTGTACAAGGTAGCTTGTTAAGCTCAGTGGGGATATGCTTGTGTGAAAGTTTTGGTTGCCATGCACATTTTGAACTGAAGTTACCTGTCATAACATGATAGAAGGACTGCAGCATCATGACATTAGAGGCTTTTTCTCCCTAGATGTCTAGCAACCCAGTGGTTTTCCAGCTTTGCTTTGTTTTGATTTGATTTGTTTTATTTTGCCTACACCGCTGCCATTGTCCTTTCTATTGTGCAGAAGTTGAATAGAAGATCATTACTCTATCAGGAGAGAGTGGGACAGCACTGTCTAAAAACTTTTGTCATTTTTTAGTGGTTGATGTTAAGGGAATCTTATAATCACAGAATATGCTGAGTTTGAAGGGACCCATCATGATCATCAAGTCCAACTCCTGGCCCTGCGCAGGACACCCCTAGAATCACACCATGTGCCTGAGAGCATTGTCCAGACACTTTTTGAGCTCTGTCAGTCTTGGTGCTTTGACCACTTCCCTGAGAAGCCTGTTCCAGTTCTCAACCACGCTCTGTGTGAAAAACATTTTCCTGGTATCTACCTAAACCTCCCCTGACTCAGCTTCATGCCATTTCCTCAAGTCCTTTCACTGGTCATGAGAGTGAAGTTGTCTTGTTTAGATTCTAACAAATAGAATTCAATGTCCATGACACCTGCCTTGCATTCAGCACTGTTAAACAATCTCACTGTCAATCTCCACAGTGTTCAAAATTTCTCTGCCTGGAGATTGAACTTCCCTGTTACAACCCACTTGGAGTCACAGCAATGTGAGCAAAGAAGTTTACGTCATGACAGTGCCTTTTGGTAAGGAATGAGAGCCAGTTCCAGTTGAAACAGGGACTGAAAGAGTCTTGAGGACTCTAAGCCAGGCACCTTTCACAAGCAAGGCAGTCACTTCTGTTAAGGCAAGAAACACATTTTAAAATACGTAAGACAGGAAAAATATAGAGGTGCCATTTATTTTTCCAATAGGACCTGTTTTCTCCACAAAGCTGTATGATTTTGGCACTGAAACCAAGCCCACAGATGAACATTCATGCTTTCCTTGTAGTCTTTAATTTCCATGTAAATTCTTAACAAGCATTCAGATTAATGTATTTATGGTCCATTTCATTCCAGTTCATTTAAGTGGTCTGTATCTGCCTTTGAAGCTCATATAGGTTTTATTGTTAATGTAATATTTTGCTGCATTACTTTGAACAGCTTTAAAAGTATAATGTCTTCAAATGCTCTAGTTAAAGAAAAATTATACCCTCAAAATAATGTCTTAGAAGTTGGAACTGTATACTTTGGAAACAATGTTTATATTATGACTCCCAAAGGCATCACAGGGTGCTTTCATGGGTCTGTCTTTTACTTTCTGTGTAACAGTGTGTATTTATACTTCCTCACTAGCTTGATACTCTTCTGTCTGAAGGCCTAAGTCTGCAAACACATAAATACTGTACCTCACCTGAGCAGTCCCACAGAGCAGGGAGGGGTTTACTCATGTGAGTATAGTTGCTCACAAAAAGTATTTGCAGAAAAAGGCTTTACTTTAGTAACTGACCGTAGTTGTGAGGACACATGGTTAATAACAGCACCAAGACACCAGTAAATGGGGTCAGTTTTTATTGAAGAAGTGGACACATTTATCTTCAAGTTATTTGACATTAATCTAAATTATTGCTATTATAATTCAGTATATTATTTCTTATGAAAACACTTTAGTCCTGCAGAAGGGTAGTTACAAAAAAAGTGTTGAGTCTTGCTGCTTTATTTGCAATTAGTATACAGTTTTGGTTGTTGAAGTGAAGCTAGCTTCTTAGACAGAAAGATAGATCAGTCAGAAAAAATTATAAATAAGCTTCATACTGTACACTGAGTTTTGCAACTAAAGTTATATGTGTGTTCAGATTTAGTATTTTTTATGCTTTAGAGCATCTTTGGTTTAATATGTAAAGGAATAAGCAGATTACTCTGAAATGCTGTTGTAGACCTAATTTTACGGATAGTGGGAGAATGTTGTCTGAAAAATTAAAATTAGAAAACATTATATAGACTGCCTTTGGCTTTAGTTTGTTTGTAGCAGGTCCAGCAGGTATCTGTTGATTCCA